GATTGAACCCAGGGCTTTGTGCATGTGAGGCAATCACTCTACCAACTGAGGTACATCCCCAGCCCACTCTGCTATCTTAAACCTGCTTTTAGAATTCATATTTCATTTTCTTTATAGTTACTGTATTATAATCCCCTGTATGTTTGATCTCTGTTCTCCTACTTGCCTTACATCTCTAAACATGTTGTAGCTGCAGTTTTGCATCTTTTTCTGCTAATCCAATATGTAGAGCTACTCAGGAGAACCAATTTCTAGTGATTCACTGTCCTTTTCCTGCAAAAGTGTGGCTCACACTTTTCTTTTTCTTTGCATGTCTCATACTTAAAAATGTAACAACTCTGACTTTCCCTTTGAGTGACTGTTCAGTGAGGTTTTTGCTTCTGTAGGTTTTAGTGCTTACCTAGACTTACGTTGCAGAATCGGTTTCCCCCATATGCAGCAGCTAATACATCAGCTCATGCATCAGCTCATGTTTTTACTCTGTTTTCGTTTTTTAGCTTGTCTGATAAAGGTCTTGCCTTTGGTTGCTTAGCTTGTTGGGTCAGCTAAGGATTTGGACACAGTTCACCTATAGACCTTTAACACCCAGGGTCTCAACATGTGTCAGAGCATCTGTGTATAGGTGGGGAACAGTATCTGCACCCCAGCCAGCTCTCAGGTCACCTGTGGAATTCCTTCCTCTGAGCTCTGAAGTCTTCCTTGTGTGTACACTGGGGTCTCCTGGTTAGCTAGCAAGTGTGGGCAGCCTGAGGAGCCTTCCCAAGCTCTCTCATTTTTAGAGTCTCCCTAATAGGTTTTTGTCTCATCTGCCACTCACCCCAAGACACCAGCCCCAAGCTATCAGGGCTATAAACTTCCCTGCCCATTCCCCCACGGAGTCTGCCACTTCTGTTGGTTCACCGTACTTGTCATGGAGTTGCCCTCTTTAGCAGCAGGACAGGTTTTCTCTAGCAGCTGCTCTGATGATACCTCTGGCTACTGCTCAGAAGCTGGGGTGGAAAGAGGGAAAGGCCCCAGGCAAGAAATCCAACTCAAGTTGCAGCTATCTTACAAGAAGAAACAGGGTTCTCCATATTCTGCTTTGGCTCATTTCTAGAGCTTTAGAATGGCTGCCTTTGGCATTTGTGCTCAGGAGGAAGCTGAGTTGTTAGCCCTTCAATCCACCTTTGCCAGAATCCTGCCCCTTGGCTTCCATGTGGAGATTTCTGTGCAGCCACCAATTGAGCAGTAGGAACCCAGTGGAGCAGAGTCACCTAGCGTTCAGTTCTTGTTCCCAGTTCCCTCTTGCAAAGTGACATCTTTGTCAGGTCCTTGATCTCTGCAATCAGGCACAGGACATAGATTGGTAGCTGCTACCTCAGCATACCACCACCTGGGAATGGGGAGCACCTCTCCCCTCTTCGCCACTTCTGAAGTCCCAGTCCCTGGGGTTCCTTCTTCCCCCTCAAGAGTGGGGTGGGGAGCATGGGCAACTCAAGAGTGTCAGGACACGCCTCATTCTTGCCTTCTTACTTGCTTCATAACTGCTTGGCAGAATGTGACTGACATTAACTTATTCATACTAATTTTTAATTTTTTTTTGTAGTTGTAGATGGACAGAATGCCTTTGTTTTATTTTTATGTGGTGCTGAAGATCAAACTGAGTGCCTCACACATGCTAGGCAAGCGCTCTACCACTGAGCTACAGCCCCAGCCCCTAATTCGTATTATTGTTTGTTTCACATTAAACAAGTTCTTTGTTTCTTTCCTTTTAGGCTGAACAAGCTCCAAACACTTGTGAATGTCATGTTTGTAAACAAGAAGCCTCTGGGCTGACAGGGTCAGCAGTGGCGGCTGGAGCCCTTCCTCCTGGCCATCAGTTCCTGAGCCCAGAGAAGCCTACGCCCCCTGCACTACATCTGTACCCCCACATCCATGGACATGTGCCTCTGCACACGGTTCCACACCTGCCTCGCCCTCTCATCCACCCGACCTTGTATACAGCACCCCCTTTCCCACACAGTAAGGTAAGCTGGGCCAGAAAGCCCTGAAAGATCACTCACCTATAAGATCTTGCAGGATTGCTTATTTAAACAGTGTACAAAACTGGCAGCTTGTACATAACAGTGTCTGCTCTTGATAGAAAGGTCTATGAATGCCTGCTTTTACCATGATCTCTCAAGTGGTTGTAATTTTGAACCTCCACATTGTTAAAAACAATCATGAAGGTCATGATTTATACATTCAAAGTTAATTAGAACATAGATGCTGCTGCTACCCAGTTAAACTTGGTGCACTTCACATGAGTCTGCTTATCTACTTATGGCCTCCAGAGCCTGTTTCTTGATGTGATGGGCAAAGTCATTTGAACAGTCCCTCTGACCTTGGGTGGGCTCTGCAGGGTCTAAGTGAGTATGCCTCTTAGCCTGACAACTCACCAGCCTACAGAGGAACTGCAAGGGCAATGTTGTAGAAAATCATATCACTCTAAGGTTGTAGAAGAACTGAAGAGCACAGGGAACCCAAAAAAACGAGGTGTGCTAGGAGCTCATTCACAGTAAGCTCTAGAAAATGACTGTCTTGATATGTTTCTTCTTAAAGTATCCTGTGGGTATATTTAGTGTCTTTGACTTTGCAGCAACCCAGTTGTTTTCATTTTTTTATGCCTTAGGTAGTTTTGCCTCTAGCTGTTTTGAACTTATCTTTGTTGACTCTCACCATAATTTTGATTGTTTTCTGTTTTTATTTATACCAGTTATTCTGGTTCAAGGTTATCTCTAATCAGTTAAAAAGTAGTCTTCTTAAAACTCTACTGATAGATTATTTTAAACAATGATTGTAAACAAGTGAAAAGGAGGACATGGCATGAAAGAGCCTGCTCAGGCTGCAGGCATGCTTCTCCTCCAGGAGTTCACTTGCACTGTGGGGTGTGTTTAGCATGACAGTGTGTGTGTTGGCCAGGAGGAGTTACCCCACAAGTTTAGAAAAGAGGATAATAGGTTTGTTGTATTCTGCTCTTGTAAGTTCTCAGCAGCTACCCAAATTCATGCTTAAGTTTTGTTAGATTGAATGTTTTCATTTTGACCATTTGATGGTGTCTTTGTTCACAGCATGCTTTTCAGAGCATTTTTCAGGTATATGGTAAAGCTAGGCTATTTTCATGTGCACTCCATTTTCCTTTGGATGAGTGTGTACATTCTAGTCCTTCTTTCCTTCCCTAGTCCTAAGATTTTAGAATGTTCCTTATATTTGTCTTGTTTAAAGCTATTCAAGAATTAGTTTTGGGGCTGGGGATGTGGCTCAAGCGGTAGCGCGCTCACCTGGCATGCTTGCGGCCCGGGTTCGATCCTCAGCACCACATACCAACAAAGATGTTGTGTCCGCCGAGAACTAAAAAATAAATATTAAAAAAAAAAAAAAAAGAATTAGTTTCTAAAAATATTCAGGTCATGTGATGAAATAGATTATTCCCCAGGCTGTGTGGCCTAGCATATGCAAAGCCCTGGGCTCAATCACCATTTGAAGAAAGAAAAAGGGAAAGAAAAAAAAAAGGAAATGGATTATTCCCAGTGCCTGTTGGGACACTAAGTTAAGAGCCTGTTCTTTTCTCTGACTTTAATCTTCTCTCCGGGAATTATAGGTAGTCTATACAAGTGTAAAAGCAGAAGAAAAACATTTTTTAGGACCATCAGCTGTATCTGATGTTCTTTTGCCGCCTGCTAGACTTTAGTGCCATAGATAAATGTGAGAAATTCATGCATAGAAAGACTAAATATAGGGGCTGGAGTTGTAGCTCAGTGGTAGAGCACTTGCTTAGCATGTGTGATGCACTGGGTTTGGTTCTCAGCACCGCATATGAATAAATAAAATAAAGGTCCATGGACAAATAAAAAATATTAAAAAGAAAAAAGAAAAACTAAATATATAGAGAGGGGTCAAGTGATATGTAGTGGTGGCCACATAGGAGCTTAGATATTTGTAGAAGACTTTTTTTCCAACTACTTTTTTTTTTTTTTTTTTTTTGCTGTTACTGATGCATTAGTTTGAGACCCTTTTTATTTGGAGACATAAGATGCCCTTGACACTTCAATTGTACTTGGTGTGGAAACTTTTGTATTGTCTCCTACCAGGTGTTACAGAACTAGTTTGTTACTTACTTGGATGTTGCACATATTGTGTTAACAGCCCGTGGGAATTGTTGGAGACTCCTTCTAGAGAAAGAAGGACACAGACTTCTCTTCATCAGGAGGATTGTTGTGTGTGGCATTCCCAATCCAGTTGAGAGGCAGTGGGTGGGTGCCGAATGTGGAGAGAGCTCTGGCCTGCCTCTGCTTCTGCATCCATTTTTGGATTGTGAGTTCTGCTGTGGTGAAGTCACAGAGAGTGCCTTTAAGACTTGATGGCACAGGAGTTGTAATTCTTTTAATTCATACTTGGCCATTGTGGGTAAATATTTAGTACCCAAAATGTTTATGACGACTACTACAGAAAATTAATTTTCTTAAAATAAAAAAAACTTGGAACACTTATTTCTATTTTCAAATGTCTTCATACCATTAATATATTTAATTTATATGTTGAAATGTTCAAGGTGGTTGCAGAAGAAAATACAGTAAGAAATACTAGAGAAAAAAAAATATGTACTAGGGAATTTAATTTCTAAATATGTGAAGATTTCCCAACTATTTTTCCATTATTTACTTTAATTCCGTTGTGGTCTAAGAGCATATATTGTGTGATTTCTTTCCTCTTTTTTCTTTTTTTTTATGGTGTTGGAGATTGGTCCTAGGGCCCTCTGTATGATAAGCAAGCACTCTGTTGCTAAGCTACATCCCAGCCCCAATTTCTACTCTTTTGAACTTACAAGAGTGTGTTTTATGGGCCAAAATGTGATATCTCTTGGTGAATGTTCCCTGTGAGGTTGAGAACGTGTATTCTATTAGATAGAGTACTCTGTAGATGCCCATTATATTTAGTTGATTTATGGTAGTATTGAATTCAGCCATGTCTTTTTCTGCCTCCTGGATTGGTCCCCTTTTGATAAAGGGTATGAAGACTCCAGCTGTGACAAGGAATTCATCTGTTTCTCCTGGCAGTTCTATCAGTTTTGCTTACATAGTTTGATGCTTTGTAGTTAGGGGCTCACATTTAGGATCACTGTGTCTTGGAGAATTAACCCTACATCACTATGTAATAATGCCCTTTTTTATCTCTGAACTTTCCTTGCCCTGAAATCTGCTCTGTCTGGGACTAATGTAGTTCTTCCAACTTTTTTGATTAGTGTTTCCATAGTATATCTTTCTCTATCCCTTTACCTTTGTGTCTATGATAAAATATGCATAACATAAAATGTATCATCCTGAAGTATTCATTTCAGTAGTATTAAATACATTTATAACTTTGTGCCACTGTCACCACCATCCATCTGTAGCTCTTTATATCTTGTAAAACTGAAGCTTTATCCATTAACAATAATTTCCTTCCTCCAGCCCCTGATAACCACCATTCTACTTTCTGTCTCTGTGATTGTGAGTTTCTAAGTACCTCGCATAAGTGAAGTCAGACAGCAGTAGTAGTCCCTTTTTTTCCTGATTGGCTTATTTCTTCTAGCATAATGTCCTCAAGGTTCATCCATGATCAGTGTGCTGTAGAATTTACTTCCTAAACAATGTTCCATTATATGGATACACCAAATGTATTTGCCGTCAGTGAACACTGGGCTTGTTTCCATATGTTAGCTATTATAACTAATCCTGCTGTGAACATGGGCATACAGATATTTCTTTGAGACTGATTTCAGTTCTCTTGGGTATATGCTTAAAAGTGGAATTGCTGGATTATATGGTAATTCTATTTTTATAGAAATACGGTAATTCTGTTTTTACAATATTTGAGGAACTGTCATATTCTTTTCTACTTTGGCTGTACCATTTTGTATTTTTACTAATAGTACATGAGGATTTCAGATTCTTCACATCTTCATCAGAGCTTACTGTTTTCTGGGGTTTTTTTGTTTGTCATTTGTTTTTATTTTGTTTTTGAGATAGATCTTCCTGTTGTTCAAGCTAGCCTCAAACTCCTGAGTTCAAGTGATCTTCCAGCCTCAGCTTCCTGATTATTACAACTTATGGTGTATATCATGGTGCCCAGTTCTATTTTCTGTTTTTTGGGTAGCTGCCATCCAATGGGTATGAGGTGGTGTGACATTGTAGTTTTGATTTGCGTTCCCCTAATGCTAGTGATTGATGTTGAGCATCTTTTAATATGCCCACTGGCCTTTCCCCCCTCCCCCATGGGGTGCTGGAGTTTGAACCAGGACTTCACTTGTGCTAGGCAAATGCTCTACCACTGAGCTACAGCCCCAGCCCCTGGACATTTTTGTATCTTCTTTGGCAATTGTCTATTCGATTCCTTTGCCCAGTTTTAATCAATTTTAGAAATTCTCTATGTATTCTAGATGATAACCCTTTATCAGGTTATGACTTACCTACAGTTTTCTTCCATTCTGTGGGTTACATTTTTATTTTGTTGATAGTATCTTTTGATGGACATTTTAAAAAATTTTCATGAAGTCCAACTTGTGTATTTTTTCTTTTATTACTTTTGCCTGTGGTGTTACATCCAAGAAATTGCCAATCCAATGTCATGAAGCTTTGGCCTTATATTTTCTTAGAATTTTATTGTTTTATTTGTTTATTTATTTATTTAAAATATTCATCCTTCAGTTTTAGGTAGACATAATATCTTTATTTCGTTTTTATGTGGTGCTGAGAAACGAACCCAGCGCCCCACGAATACCAGGCGAGCGCACTATCACTTGAGCCACATCCCCAGCCCCTATTTTAGGTTTTACATTCTGATTTTTTAACCAGATCGAGTTAATTCTTGTATATGGTGTTAGACAAAGGTTCAGTTTTATTTCTTTGCATGTAGATATTCAGTTTTATTCAGCCCAATTTTTTTTAAGAGAGAGTGAGAGAGGAGAGAGAGAGATAGAGAGAATTTTTAATATTTATTTTTTAGTTCT